ACTAGGTATTCGTTCCAGTCTGGCATTTTACCGTTCATATTTAATAGGTATCTATACAAATAACAATAATTAGTTAGAGGATATAAGTCAATAGCGAATGAGAATCAGAAAGGATAAAAAATATCAATATTATAAAGGATAAAGTTTGTGTGTGTGTGTATTTTTGTTACTTCTTCACGTCTAAACGGCTGGAGCGATTTTATTAAAATTTGGTAATAAGTTAGCTGATACCCTGGATTACCACATAGGCTACATTTTACTGCGGGAAAATATCCATAATAAACCGTGGCTAACACCGCTACACAGCTAGTATAGGTATATATTAAATCATATAAAACAGATGCTATTTATATAATGTGCAATTTATTATTATACATTTGAAATGAATTTGACAAGACAAGACATTAAATCAAACCAGATAGAATACATACCACGCTTCTCGTCTATAAACTTTTGAGTGATAATTCAGTGTGATATGATAAGAATGAAGGATGAGAAAATACTCTATAACTACTCTGATTCAGTGGATAACAATCTGTTTAACTATGATCAGTGTTTCAAAACTACTTTCCAAAACCTAAATCACCAAATTCTTACGCTTTCTTAGAATTTATTATCTTCTATTTTAAATATTATTACTAGACTTGCAACTAATATTCGGTTACTATTCGGTATTCGGCCTATTCGGCTGCTTTTATTATATTCGGCCGAATACCGAATACTTAAATAATATATTATGTCATAGAGAAATAATTGGTAAAAAAAATTAAAATCGGTTGATTACGTATATATTCATATTTTCATTTCTGTTATATAATCATTTAAGTAGCCATTGGTACATAACACAGGTACATAATCATATTCTGAATTGGAAAAATGTAGGATTCTATGTATTTGAATTATTGTGGTAACCAAAATTTAGAAGGGTAAGATTCTCATTTCTTTTATAATCATTTATTATGTAGTCATTGGTACATAATTTAATCATTTTCCGTATTAAACAAGTTAACAGTTTTTAATTCATTCAGTCATGTGATGAATGGTTACATAATAGCAATAATTTAAAGTTTACGCGCTGTTTTTGGCCATATTTCAAAAGTTGGTTTTGTCATTTAGTCGCATTTTAGCTTGAGGACGGCAGATTAGAACAAAACAAAGGAGCCCGAAAAAATCACGTCTGTACAAGTTTTTGGCGCTAAAATCCAGCCGAATATTTTTGCCTAATATTCGGCTATTCGGTCAGGGGCCTCGCCGAATATTCGGTATACTGCCAAATATACTATTCGTTGCAAGTCTAATTATTACCAAAAACAGGAAGACTAAAGACTAATTTTAATTAAATAGCTAGTAATTTGACAAATATTTCAATAGTCTCATTCGCATTTCTGCAACCAATAGGTAAAAGACAATCACGTTATGATAAAAACCTAAATGAACAAGTATATAGACATACTTTAAAGGAAGCTAAACAATCAACACGCGTTAATGATATCAACTTCTATCTTTTCTAAAATGATAAAACCGTGAGAAGTCAATACAATAAAGTTATTTTTCTATTAATCTAAATCATTATTAACAACTTAGCGAATGTTATGAAACGAGATATTTATTTGAAAAGTGAATGGCATCTTAAATGTACCTACATAATAATATTTTATCCCACTATTATTATAAATGTTAATGTTTGTATGTTTGTTACTCAATCCGCAAAACTACTGAACGGATTCGGATGAAATTTGGTACGCATGAAGTTTATGAGATGACGAAGATACTTTTATCCCGGAAAAATGTTAGGTTTCTGTGGAATTCTCAAAAAACTGAAGTTAACGCAGTCGAAGTATTAGTAGAAAATATATTTACAAAATACCCGTTCAGAAAATACTTTGTGTAGCAAGCAAGTAATGTGATTGTACGAACAATTTACAATAATATTACATAACAGTCCAATAAAGCAATGAACGCTTATAGTTATATAATTGTTTCTACTATTAATTGATTTGTATAGTAGGCGTAGATAGTTACACTATTCATACGTCAGACAGGCTTCGGTATTTTGTAGTTAGCAAATTGATCATTAGTCACTACAACGTCATTATAATTAATTGTGCTTTGTCATACAAATGTCACAGAACAAATTTTAATTAACTATCCGAATCGAATTGGCTTTTAGTGCCGCCACGGAATCAAGGATTAGAGATCGTGGCTACACGAAATTAATAAGGTATATGTATAACAGACAAATCGTTATATAAACATTTATTATAATAAGTGCTAATTCAGACCTAATTGGTGATTCATTGGGCTTGCTATGATAAAAAAAAATCAATACTTTTGTTACTTAAACAATTTATAATTTTAAGAAGCCCTTCTGCTATCCAGATAATGCGGATTTTGAATTCTGCTGAAACCTGGAGCGAGTGGATTTTTTTTAAGCATTCAATCTATCATTTTCAATACTTTATTGCGTTCTACAAAGTTTTCTTGGATCTAGTAGGTACATTGCTTTGATCATTGTAGACCCTGAACAGGGCACAGCAAATAGAGAAGAGGACGCATTCAGTAACTGTAAGTTAGTTAATATACCTAAATGTACTATAATCAAAAATTTGCAGCCATACACTTTTAAAATTGGATGATTTGACTTTTATTCAAGTAACTCTGTCTGCCTGTAACTATAGGTTTTCCCTGATCATGAATAATGTAGCTACTGAGATATATTTTTTAATTTGTTGCATTTATTATTCATCGGTCAAAGTTGAAATCGTTCTTTCCAAGTTAACTCCTAAAACTGCGGAACCATATAAAGTTTTCATTCATCGTTATCTTAAATAACATTTCTACTATTATAATAAACTCTACTGCTATATACGAAAGTTTCAACAGTTGTGGGTACCCTAATAACCTAACCTAAACCGCTAACCAAATAAATTTTAGTATATACATAAAATGCTATTTTTTTCCACAAAATCTTCGGAGATGATGTAAGTTTATACAAATTTACCCACGTTATACAACAAATCTATCCTTCTACGCAAACGAAGTCGCGGGAATCAGTTGGTTAAATACAACTGTTTAATTAATTTAAGTTTATAAGTATTTTTTTCTTAATTTAGCAGCGATATCTGTTACACATCATTCCACTTAAGAACTTGGAAACCTTCCAAGCACTTCATGTATTTGGTTAATTTCTCAGAAAATTTTGTATCAACTTTTCTTATTGTTCTACAAATATAAATACATACGAGCTTTAGTCTAAGTGGGGCGCCTTCATGTCATTCTATTAAAATTTAACAACGGAATCAATTTTCAACGTTTGTTTAATTGACCGAATTTAGGTCATGCGTACCTAATCAATGGAGTCGTCGTTACATATGAACGTTGGCATGCTGCATATTTAGTCCTTCAAAATTTCGCAGAACATGTGTAAACTGAAATATTGGTCAAGGCAATTTACCCACGTAAATGTCTTGTGAAAAGAACAATCTGCCATGACAAGCAATTACAAAACGAACACTTATTTCAAGGAAACTTCTAAGAAATACACTCAAGAGCAATGAAATCATCGAGTCGCACAGAGTCGGTTAAATATTGTCCTTGTAATTTATGTATTTTTATACAAAGCTAAGTTAAAGTTATGTTATCTTGAATTGTAAGATATTCTAAAACAAAATTAGCATTTACTTTCAAAATACTAACTTGAAACTATTTATTGGAATCAACTGAAATTTCTAACAAATAACAAACTTTGTTGGTTGTCGAATAGGGGTGACCCCGATTCATTGCTCTTAAAAATCTTATTAAGTTTAATGTATTCTGATGAGACATGAGCTCAAATAATAAAAAGGAGCATTCAAAATGACAGCAAATGTCGCTTTTTATCCAATTTACTTAAGCAATTATACGGTGTATTTTAATATATCAGTAACGATTTTGGTACATACCTCTAAACTGCTTGCGTATGTGTGAATTTTACAATATTAAAATCGTGTCATGTGATCAAAAAACTTTCGTAACTCTATACTTACTGAAGAAAAATATTTTTAAGATATGATAGTCATTACCATGATAAGTTCATGCTTCGTAAAAACACTTATAAAATTACCTTTTTTTACCTAAGTGACTGGAGCAGCAAAAACTGAGATTGGAAAAAACACAAAGCAGAATTTGTATTTACTCGTAATATAAATAGACTATGAAAAAGTAACCTAATTTAGGTATATTTAGCTTAGTATTTTAGTCGCAGAGGAAACGGACCAGGATGTAGTAAAGAAAGGGATTTAGTAAGCTGATAATAAATTTTATATTTCAAATATTTTATAACACCTTTTATGATTGTTTGCGGTTTGCTTTTCCCGAAATGAGGGTCGAATTTTATATCTCACAATAATCACAATCTGTGTCATAATAATGAATCTGTAGAACCATACACTATTTATATCCTTTCTATATAATGGCTGACCAGGGATAGTTTGTAGGCTGTAAAAACTAGGCCAAGGTTACGTTTAAATTTAAAACGAAGCACCTTGACGATAACCACATATTTAATGACATCATAAGATTGAAATGAGATGTTATACCCTTATCTGAACCAGCTTTAGATTATATTTGAGATAAAAATATCTTCGAGATATCGTGAGATAAATTTTTAGAACGCTGCACTTCAAATTTACCAAAATATCCCTGTTCTTTTCCGATGAATAAATGTAACTATATCTTTAACTTTATACGATATGAATAGTTACTATCCCGATATACCTACACGTGGAGTCAAATCTAATTGGCAGCTTATTATGCGGCGTCCATTGCTACATCACAGAAATTGTTTCAGAAAACGGTTCTTTGGACAACTTTGGAAATTAGGGGTCCGATGGTACATCGGATTATCAGAAAATGTGTAGTGTACTCGGAAGAGTTATTTTCATACCTACGTAACGGTGACGATATCAACATAGTAGGACGCACAAACCGAGCGTCGTGGTGGCGCTTCATGCCTTCAGTTTAGCTATTGCGCTCGTCGATAATAGACGTTGAGCATTTGTTACCACCGGACGTAACGTAAACTCTAATAATCAGTATTCGCGTTCGGAATTTAAATTCCCATTTTGATTTTTTTTTGTGTTAATATTATTTTATTGTGTTGTGAAATGCGCGTGTGCGCCGAAAGACAAAGCGTTCGTTTAGCGTCGGCTCGTTGGATCCGTCGCCGAGCAGCAAGGATGGCCCACTCAATCGGAATGTTGCATTTTCAGTTCAAACGGATGCTGAACAAGGAGCTGAGCCATTTTTCAGAATCGAGCAAGTCTGGAAATCAAATATCGGAATACATCTGCTCTACTTTCTTAGGTAAGTCAAAAAACTTTATATTTGTATATCCATCAGAATATTTTTATATGAAGTCCAGCAAAGTAAGTACTCCACGCTAACTGATGTTAAATGTGAATAGAAACGGAATTGTTTACCAAAGTTTTTAGAATCCGTCACCCTGTAGGCTTGAACTCAATTCCCCTACCTCGTGGATCGTGAATATTTTGACGGAGGAGTGATATTTTTCTCATGTGATAAATTTATTGAATACCGTACAATTCATAGATATTTAAACAAAAATAAATTCAGTAAGTCATGTAAATTCAAAAAGTAATTTTTCAAATTATATTTTAATTTTAGGCATATAACTGCTAGCTGTTTAAATCTAAAGAGAATTTTACTAGAAAAATATCCACTCGGCCCAGGTTTCAGACAGGATTCGAACCTGCGCTTGTCGCAATCAGGGCGATAATTATCAAATTATCATTGACAAATAGTTTAATTGACACTAAAATAAAGTAAGTCTTACTTTATTTTAGTGACAATAAAACAAAGTGACAATAATAGTCTTTTGTTAAATTTGTAGTATTCTATTCATAACATAAACACCACGCTTGCTTAAAATATAGACAAGATCGTATTTGTTCCCCTCTAAGCACAATAACAAATAGATGATAAAAAATATTGTTATTTCCAAGAAAGTAATTAACATATCCCTTGTGGTAATTAATTATTAATTGGAACTTCATTCCACTTAAAATATCTAAACAACATAAGCAAACAAAAAGAGCTTTGTAGTAAACGTAGTACGTTATTCAGAAGCAAATCATTAAAAGCTCATGATAGTAGCGTGACACAAATTTATTGAATCCCTTTGAATTTTATGTCATATCAGAACGGCCTTAAAAACATATGCGTCACAAAAGCACGCAAGCTATGAAAAATTTATTGTGTTAATACATGGAAGTGCGTACTTTGCCCCCGGCGTGACGTAGCCGCCCGCCCTTCGAAAGTTGCTACGTGACCCGCATCAACGAATTAGAACAACCCTCGTAAACCTCAACCTACATTATTCAACTGCTATTGAACTAGTATCCGCGGCAAACGACTAATGAAAATACTCGACAACTGCTTAACTGCTCGGCAATCCGTAGCAAACTATAATAAAATTAATATTGTTCCGATAACAATGGAGCATGTCAGTTTTGGGTAAACAAGTCTTCCATGAAGGAAAAGGAACAAAAGAGAAAACGTAAAATAAGATAACTACTTACTTCACTGGCTAATGCTATCAAAGGTAGAGTCGTCTCGAAAACTCTTGTTCGTGATATATTTCTATTATCATATCCGACGAGCCGTTCTCAAATGATCCTCCACCATACATGTGGCATTTCAAGATTAATTAAAGCCATATTATAGTTGCGTACGTGCCATCCATCCAGATAAAAAAATATAGGTAGGTACAATTTCCAATTTAAAGTTCAGCGACAGTTCAACAACTCTATTACTAGCTCCGCACAACATGCAAATTGACGTTCATTCAAAAAGTTATTGCTTTAGCTAGTTGTTGGTAGTTCATACCGCTACCGAAACGCCATAATTTCACAACATCAATGAATCTCAATCGAAACTAGTTAAAAGGAACATAATAAGACGTCATATTTATGATCATAGATAGGCGTAAAAGTTTGCCGATCACAAATTGATCCACAAGGCTAAACAGGTAGCAAGCAAGCAGAGCTGAACGGAGCATGGCTAAATAAGATTTATAAACTCCATTATAACCACGGATGAAACTCGTAAAACTTTTACTGGTGTCAATCATACCAATGATTTCCTTGTTTACTAGATATAAAATGAAGTGGTACAAAGAAATCCGTAGACGTTGTTATGTAAAATGTTATATATCTTATTTGCATTAATGGAATACCAATCTCCTCTTATGAAACTGATGGAATGGATGGAATATACATATGAGCTCTTTTTACCTAGATTACTTTATAGGTGTAACTATCTTCACAATAAATAAACGTTTTATTTCCCAATCCTTATATTATAATTTAGGCACTTTGATCTGCACACGCATCGATAACCAGTACTTATATTTATACTTTTACAAGTATAACAAAATTACTCTTTTAGTTATACTACAAATACCTTTAAAAAAAAGCTTCGAATAAATTAAACATTGATTTGGTTGAATACCGAATTTATTTTGCATTTTTTGATGAGATCTCAGGAAGCTTTTATTAAGCTTCCGTACCAAAACTAATTATATTTGAAACTATCCCAAAGAGTGAGCTTAAAGACAATTGTGGGATGCGGCGGATACGTAGCTCCTTAATTAATTTGTTTACGCAATGCGACCCAGGATTCCCTAAGTTTGAATACGGCTCAATAATAGTTTGAATGTCAACTCTGGATGCTGTGCAAACAGAAACCTAATATTTCTCTGTTCTGTTGAATTGCTTATCTACTGTGTTCTACTGACTTTGTTTAGGTAGCTTAGGTAGTCCATCAAATTTTAGGCATTGTATAGTTCCTAAAAAAGATGTCAGACGGGAATACATAAATAAATATAGCAAGTTTCGTACTTGATAAAGATCATATATTAAACACTCTGTATTTATATTGAATAGTAAAATATAGGTAATACCTCTTATAAGTCTTAACAAAAATTTAAGGTAATAAACCCATTAACAAGTTTTAGACGTATCTAGTTATTCTTAATACGAACGGTTTCTTTAATAATAAGTAACTTAGAGCTTTTGGCTTTCACTAATAATGGGCTAATGAATCATTTTAAAGGTTAAAATAATAAAAGAGAATTACAATGTTTGAAAATATCCTCATCATACTATACCAGTGATTCTTTATCACATTGATGGCAACTCAGGAAGATTACAAAAATTTAATTAAATTTTGTCTCGAAGTTCTTTGTTTCGCAAAGAAGTTCAAAGTTACTGGTGTTTACTCGAGAATTATTTATTCAAGATTTAACGAAGCTTTTCAAATATAGAGTTGCGAAATAGAGCCGGTGTATATATTTTTATAAATATTTGATCTGTACAACGATTAGTTGTACTCTCTTGCTACCTACTTATATTGTTATTGACTCTATTAAATTTAGGTTATTATCAACATTAATTTCGATTAGTCCATCTTTTGACTTGAGAAAACTTTTGACGATTTAATGTGATTAGGTTAGCTCTTGTCGGATGCTGTTGGTTGTTAAGCTTACTTGAAGAAACGAAATAAGGATAAAATGAATAATCGGTAGACAATAAAAATAGCCAGAGAGCAGATATACTTATAATAGGAATACCAAAAGATATTATGGTTCAAATGTATCGATATGAAAAATATCTAGCGTAAGGCCACCTATCGCGCTATTAGTATACTAGATAAGATATATAAAATAACAGTGATCATAAACATATGGATTTTTACGTATGCCATATACTTACATAGCAAGAGCATATTCTTCCCTTTGTCGCATTTGATGAATCACTTTAGTTGAATATTTTTTTTCCATGCTCAGAGGAAAACATTTTAGTACTTTGCAATCTGTTTAGGTATTCATATTCATAATAAACAATAAGAATATTTTAATAACTATTTCAGTAAGCACAATATGGTTTCAAATAAAGTTAATATTATATTGCACACGTTCACCTACTTTCTCTTGACATAGATACCTGATGGCTGAAAATGATAGATATGTATATGGTTACGATTTTTAAGTGCTCAAGGCAATGCGTAACATATTTGAGGTGAAAATATTCGAGTACCTACTAAAAATATACCATGATTTATTACCACATTTTTTTTAAATAAAAGCGGTATCAAAATCTTCAACATTTTTGCATTGTAGATAGACATCATAATAACAATATTTGTGTCTCACATAGGAAATCTTTTTTTCCAGATAAACAACAGGAACTTGATCTACCATGTTTACAAGTCGATGAGGGCCAAGAACGTCAAACAAAGAAAAAAGAAAAGCCACGTGCTGGTGGCCCAGCCACCACAATGTCACAAGTAAGCTACCAAAAACCTTTGTGGTTAATAATTTGTATTAAACAAAATCATCTTTTTTGTAAAAAAAAACTACGTTATATTTTATTCTCCTAGTTTGAATTTTATAAATACCTGTTTTAGCAATTATCCCATAGGCTTATGGATTTACATACTTTTTCAGATAACTGGTGTCAAAAGAACGCTCACACATACTAACAGTTTTACTGGTGAACGAGTCCCGAGGTTCGGAGTAGACACTCCTCACGAAGAAGAGTTGGGCAGACAACTGAATGAACTTGATCGCTGGGGCGTCGACATCTTTCGCATTGGCGACCTATCATGTGGAAGGCCTCTGACTGCTGTCGCATATGCTGCCTTCAACTCCAGAGAACTTCTATCGACACTGCAAATAGCACCCCGCACTTTCTTAGCGTTCGCAGTGACACTTGAGGAACACTACATCCGGGACAATCCTTTTCATAACTCACTTCATGCAGCGGACGTTACACAATCCACACATGTACTCCTCAATACGCCGGCTCTGGACGCTGTGTTCACTCCAATTGAAGTGTGCGCTGCATTGTTTGCGGCGTGTGTTCACGATGTGGATCATCCTGGACTTACAAACCAATTTCTCGTCAACTCTAGCTCTGAGCTCGCTCTTATGTACAATGACGAGTCTGTTCTTGAAAACCACCATCTAGCCGTTGCATTTAAATTGCTGCAGAATGACGGTTGCGATATATTTACAAATTTACATAAAAAGCAGAGACAGACATTGAGAAAGATGGTAATCGATATGGTCCTCTCAACAGACATGTCCAAACACATGAGCTTATTAGCTGACTTAAAGACCATGGTAGAAACAAAGAAGGTGGCCGGCAGTGGCGTCTTATTACTAGATAATTACACAGATAGAATACAAGTCTTGGAGAATCTCGTTCATTGTGCCGACTTAAGCAACCCTACTAAACCTTTACCTTTATATAAGAGATGGGTGGCGCTGCTTATGGAGGAGTTCTTCCAGCAAGGAGACCGTGAGAGAGAACAGGGCATGGATATCAGTCCGATGTGTGACAGGCATAATGCTACAATAGAGAAATCTCAGGTCGGTTTCATCGACTATATTGTGCACCCTCTGTGGGAGACATGGGCGGATCTAGTACACCCTGACGCGCAAGACATCTTGGACACGCTAGAAGAGAACCGTGATTATTACCAGAGCATGATACCCCCATCACCCCCGCCAGCCCCCGTATCGTCACATTCAGCGCCCGATGACGATCGCCCCGAACAAATACGCTTTCAAGTAAGTTCTCCTATTTATTACTTTATCTACGTACATCCCTTGCGAGATTAATATCATGAAACCTGTAGTATACCTTGATTAATTTTACTTATGGTAATTTAATATTAGGCCCAAATTATTGTTGTCCAATTTAAATAGTAACATTTTGTCAGCCATCATTTTATCATAATATACTATAGTTTACGGCATCAATCATACTAATTTTTTGGTAAAAGATTACTAGTTCGCTCTGCTTTTCCGCAACAAGAGAAGTCAAAAGTACCTATGACGTCGTGTTACTACTCAAACTTCGATTGTTTGTGATAAAACAATCCGAAGATAGCGAAAGCTTTTAATCTTTTTGTTTTTTTTTTCTTATATAAAAATCACCAATATAAGTGACGTAAATATAATATTATGATAATCACAACTGATAATATAATTTCAATACACGACAGTAAGTTTTACACTTGGAAAACTCTTTACTTGATATTTTCTCTTTTCGCCAGCCCTTTCATTCTGTAGTTTTGAAGGGGAAGGCGAAAGAGATAAAGTTAGACAATTATCACCCACTCTCCAGTCAGCCTATGATGAAAATCCTAAAAATATGAAATTGTTGTGCAGGTAACACTAGAGGAGGGCGAGGGCTCGGAAGAATGCGAGGGCGAGGGCGACGGCGGGATGTGACGGAAACTACTGGGAATCTGTAAGAAACTCACTGAGAAAATGCAGGTGTGGTGGAGGCTCTGGCAGTAGAGCTGCGCCCGCGCCGGTAAAAGTAGCACCACCGTGACGAGCGGATTGTTGGATAATAATAACATTTGTTGACGCTTACCTCGAAATGGAACGATCTGCGGGTGTATCGTAACATTTCGATTATGATTATTTATATGTGATTATTATGCAATGTTGTTTAGAGTTACCTAACGACTAAAAATAATGTCCCTCCAATGACTGTGTAACGTTCGATTGTCTAGTGTTTTTACTATTGTTTCGTTTTGTCTAACCAAAGATTCAGTTCATATGTTTACAGTAAAGTTCGATATATCCCTGTAAGTAGGTAGTTAGTGTTCGGTTTAAATTAAAGTCGTGTAAGTAGATATAGTGGCCGGCTCCGAATGTACCGGATCGGCTAAATAAGGACATTGAAAACGCTTATTAATTGGTATGAAAGGGTAATTTATATTGTCATATCATCCACGTTTCTCATATTTAATACGGGTTTGCGATAATGATGTTATTCACCAAAATATATTAACATGATAGGTATCCTAATGTAAATCTATTTTAAGGTAAATTTTAAAAATTGCCTTTCGAAGTTGTTGTGTCTTTTTTCTGAATATATAATATTCGGCCAGGCTCTCACCATGGATAGACACGTTACCACGTTCATCCTGTTAGATAGCTTTACTTGATTTGATAATCCTAATAGCACCTCATTTCTTATGGGAGGTCGCTGGCGACCCCTTTACTTTTCTCTTTAGAATAGTGTATTATTTTTGTAAATGAATTATTGTCTATTTCTCTTGAATCCAAATATTATCAAAAAATATTAGTCATGGATCTTTTAAGTTTTTGTGTAACGCAACTAACGGCTTGGAGTGTTTGATTAAAATGTTAAGTACTAACAAACGAGTGGTTTGCAAATAAGTTTTCTCTCGGATGTTTTCATTTTAATTTCAAACATATTTACTTAAGTGCAACGGATAACAGCACGCGGGCCGGGTTTTGCAATAGTACATACTAAGTAGGTAGTATCCGAAGCACTCTCTCTTCGCACAATATTCATGTATTACCTGACGTATCCATGTGTTAGTTAGTGCTCATATCCTAATATCTTTATACGTAATTTCTGAGTAATAACAACTTCGATGCGACACAGTGCAGATCTGATAATCACCCACATACTATTCCTCATTATTAATACAAGTACAACAATCATTACAGTACTACTTACTCAGTGGACACTTAAGAGGGTGAAATAAACCTGTATTATGTTTGCATTTCATTATGATCATCGTTTTAATGAACGATTTTGTTACTTATGAGCTGGTCTCAAAACTTTCATGTACTCAAAAGATATTCGTTTTTACTTGTTTAGATGATTTAGTAATTCTTGACAAGTATTCATATTTTGTCACGCACTCAGAACAAGAACTAAACCATAGAAGAAATGCTATGACTTTTGAGCGTACACTCCCATAGCCAATAAATTATTTTTTTTCCAAAAAAAAGTATTACCCAACCAAAAAGTATTATTGGTTTGTTGGCAGGTTACATTTGACATTAGAGCGCTTTTTGTAAAGGTAACCAAGGTATCTATAAAAATCCACAAGGTATCGAATTTGAAGTTTGTATAGTGGTACACACGCCGTTCATAGCACCATATATTTGTCCCTTTTCTTGGTCTATATGTAAAGATAAGATATGTCGACTTTATAAGTTGAAATTAAACTCTTTCTATGCTTTAGTTCTTGTTCTGGGTACGCATTATAACCATTGTGTCAATCTATAGAATGAGTATTATTTTGTGAGTATTCTCTAAGTCATTCATAGCATTCATCGGAGTCAAGAAAGAAGGTCCAATGTACATTATTTTCGTAGGTAATTTAAGAATTTTATTCGGCGAGAAAAATAAATAAATTGTTACTTACCAGTCTCGGGTTCGCCGTGATATCTTCAAGTTGTCTGATTTTGGAACGCATAGATTAATATTTGGACTTTGAAAAAAAAATAAAGCGCTTATCTACTTGTGTGTTAAAATAGACATTACGCTTAGAATCATTTGATTTCTAATATATAGGTATTTGTAACGAAATTGTGTTATAATGTTTGTATAACAGTAGATCTGTGTATAAAACCCAATTTTGGTATATATTAAACTACGCCAATGTGGTGCACTTGGCTTACGATATACCCGACACACAACATCTTTGTATCTAACACTCGTACAATAATTTGTTCGCTCGTGTGTCAGCATCATTGTCAACAATTGTACAGATACAGACTTGATAAACCATAATATTTTGAAGATTTCAAAACTGTACATTTATGACATGTCAGGTGACTAGCTCTTGGTTCTCTAGAAGAATGAAAAAGAACAATCTAAGTAGTTTATAATATCTACGAACCTTGAACGTGACATGTCATATACAATAGTCATATTTAGCGTTACCTACTTATTAATTATCAAATTGTTTTACGAAAAAGTGGTTTCAGTGTTGTGTACCTATATGTTTTGTCAATATGAAGAAATATCCCTAAGATTGGATATACCTAGTTAAATTATTAATACCAAGATAAAAGGAAGTGTGCAATGCTGGTCATTTGCATTACTTGATTTATGTTTAAAAAATAGCTTGTAATAGTTTAAATGAATATTTGAGTTGAATTAAAGAATATTAATGTATTTAGAATAAAAAGATATGGGAGAAAACTGTCAAGTTATTTTATTACTCACCTACTAGTACATAACCTGATTAGGAACGAGTTCTAACGTTGATACCACAGAACACAGAAAGAGGTTAGAATGGCCTTGTGGGCGGGGCAGACGCGTCACAGTTATGAGCAAATGCTCATAACTTGACCGTAACGTCCGATCGCGTCGTTTAGTTGCCCGCGACCGCACAGTGAGAGAGTATTGTGATTACCGCTTAAAATATGCCTTCGTGTGCCGTAATTACTTGCAAAGTATGGAGTCAATCATCAAATCTACCTAAAGTAGGATTATTTTTTTCATCGGTAAGTATAAAACTTCTTAGTTAGACTGATATTTTAGCAAAAATTCGAGAAATTTTAATAAAACGATAAATCACATATATATTTCCAAAAAAATATTCATTGCTGACAAAGTACGCTCGCTATTCCTTCTACGACATTCAAAACACGTAATGTAGTACGATCGAGCAAGAATGACGCGTGGATCACAGAGCGCTGCACGTGGCCGCACGCATACTTTAGTGGTGTCTTGCATCGTACATTTTATATTTTCGATAGATTTCATCGACTGAATTTTAGCACCTAATAATGGAAGCGAAAGTTTTCGAGTCGAGTTCGTGTATGTTTGTTACTTCTTCACCTCTAAACGGCTGGAGCGTTTTTAATAAAATTTGGCATGGAGTTAGCTGACACCCTGGATTAACATATACGCTACGTTGAACTGCGGCAAAAAATCCCTAATAAACCGCAGGTAACACCGCAGGCCACAGCTAGTACAATATAATATAAAGCTGAAGTTTGTTTATAGTCCAGTCAAAATAGACATTTGACTTAGGAATAATTCCCATAGAGCTGAAAATGGGCAGAGACGTTAAATACATCATTATAAAAAATGTCAAAAATCCCCTTCGATCCTACTTATGCAAAAAAAAATGTTCAACTCAAACCGTACAAAATTATGGTTTTTCCACTTTTCTCGAAAACGGTAAGTTTTGTCGTGAAAGAAGGTCAGACAAAAGTTGTAGACCATACAATTCTCTACAAAAATGGTCTAGTCACTTTTTCTCTCACGACTCACCATTCGTGAGATATCGCGGTTTTAATAATTAGAAAATTCTTTTTTATGTAATATGCACACATTTCTGCACCACCTCTGAGGTAATGTACTTGGCGGTTTCAAAATTGAAAAAAATCCGAAATTAAATACATCATTATAAAAAATGTCAAAAATCCCATTCGATCCCACTTCTGCAGAAAAAATTCAAGGTCAAACGTAAACAATTATGGTTTTTTCCATTTTTCTCGAAAACGGTAAGTTTTGTCGTAAAAATAGATCAGACAAAAGTTGTAGACTATTCAATTCTCTACAAAAAAGGTCCAGTCACTTTTTCTCTCACGAATCGTGAGAGATATCGCGGTTTTAATAATTAAGAAAATTCATTTTTTACATAATATGCACACATTTCTGCACCACCTATGTAATGTACTTGGCGGTTTTTTTTTTCAAAGTGGTTTCCCCAGTAGGTATACTCCACGATGCATTGTAATAAAAAAAGTTTGATCAGATCGTATCCTATTGATTGATAGAATGGTTATATTGCTAATGATCAAATTTGTTTTCTTCTAAATGTTATTATATAAGATAATTGTCTAATTCTTCTCCGACAATTATTTCTTCGTCTTCATTTTCTTCTTCTTGCAGAATTTCTATTCACTGTTCTAAGAAAAGGGATGCAACAATTGTCTCTTCATTAATATCATAAATATTTTCATCTGTTGTATTTTTTCAATATTGGAGCAAGTCTGACACTGACAATTGATGCATACTGGCGAAACAAATAATCCCACTTTATGACAGCCATAATTCTTACTATAATCCGTCTTGCATTTACAAAAAATAGGATTAAAAAGTTTTTCTGTAGCAGGCGGGAGTAGAGTTCGAAATGGCTCCAAATAATTATCTGTTAATTTCCTTCTGGGTCCAGATCATTGCCTAGCCACACTTGAACTTGATAATACAAACGATACAAGTGTTGAAAGGCAGAAGCAGATGTTGGAGGCAGACAATACCACTGTACTGTTTTACTGTTCCATGCAGATTTATATCCCATAGTTGGCCTCAGAAAGATATTATAACAGTTATTGTGGTACTTAGCTTTAGCAGCAACTAAGTTATACTCAATATGTAAAATATGAATTTTCTAATTATTAAAACAGCGATATCTCACGGTGAGTCGTGAGAGAAAAAGTGACTGGACCAGTTTTGTAGAGAATTGTATGATCTTCAACTTTTGTCAGATTTATTTTCACGATAAAACTTACCGTTTTCGAGAAAAATGGAAAGAACCATAATTTTGTAAGTTTGAACTTGAATATTTTTTTGCAGAAGTAGGATCGAAGGAGATTTTAGACATTTTATTTATAATGATGTCTTCGTAACGTCTCTGCCAATTTTCAGCTCTATGTAAATTATCCCTAAGTTATGACTTATTTTTGTCTATTTTGACTGGACTATAGAGAGAATTAACTTGTCCACACAGTCAGTAGAAAGAGATTGTAAAGAGCCATCTGAAAACGAAGAGGATGAAGATGAAGATTTTACTGATTTCAGTACACAAGTCATTGCCTACATAGCAGGCAATGTGGTTCATGTCCTTATTAAAAAAATCTAATGCGATATTTGCTCTGGAGCCCTAATATCAGATTCAAGTAATAATTAACATAAAGGAGATTGCTCAGCTTCCATACATGTTTGGCCTAAAGACCAATAATCATGAAAAATTGTTTCCTGGATTCGAAATTATATATAAATCACTGTAGAAACGAATATTATTGACGGACACCCCTGAGAACTTCTATAAACCATATACACTGAACATATTAAAATAATAAAAAACAAATAAATTATATAGTAAACTAGGGAAATCAAGCCAAGTACCGAAATTATGGATTAGATTCAGGTATATAGAGCATGTAGATTAACAGATAGTTGCCTGTTTTTAAAGTTAATGAATAAGAGTAACTTTTAAAATCAGGTGTCATCTATGTATTTCCGGTTATAATAAGGTACTCTGTGACAGAAACTGTGTGATGATTGTGAATGAGCCACAGATTAGAGAGAATTTTTAAACTCTCGTTAACCAAAGGAAGCCAAGAGAATTAGGTTCTATAGCCATATATTCAGTAGCTTCATTATTTTTGTTATGTTTTTAAGATAACCATATTTTAGATTTTTAGTTTATCACACCTTATAATTTTATTTATTTATTAATTAATAGTCAGGGAACGTAGGCCCATAGATAGATACCTTAAAGTCTAACATATTACAGATTATAATGTGTTCATGGAGGTGTTTGGCGAAAAATGTATTGCAATAGACTTTATGATGTCGCCTACCATCTATAATAATTGTCTGAGCACATTTGCATCTAGTGAAAATGATAATATAGTTGTGGATATTAATACCACAGTTTAATAAAAAAAATGATTTATTTAACGATCTTTACAAAAAAGATTTGTTTTTGTGTTATAACAACTTCGATCAGTCTTTGGCTGAATGTTACTACACCCATAGCCATTAAAAATGATTCGTATGTTTTCCAAACCGGTAAAACTAAAAGTCCTTTTTAAAGTAAATTTAATATACAAAGGTGTCCGTTGAAATCTAATGACTGTAAATTAAATTATAAATTACGCCAAGAATTACCGTGTATGTCAATATTTTTTGTGCATTTAGGCCAATTTGAGCAATCTCCTTTATTTCGTTAAAAGATAAAGGTGGCCTGATATATCCGGCCGTGGTGATGTTATAAAAATATGCAAAAGTGCAGAAACTGTAATACGACAACATGCAGATAATTTGAAAAATGACAAAAAAGAAATTTTAGTCCCAAAAATATAAAAAAAAGTTTATTGGCACTTCATTATTTGATGACATATCATTTTATCAAGTCGGTGAATTCCCATTATCTAACCACGTAACAGATTCAATTAAAGTGGTGATTGAAAAATATATAGATATATTTCTTTTGAAAAATAACTTTAGAAAGAAATAAAGCGTCACCTTTTTCATAAATATATATTGTTTAAAGGTCAATAAATAACTATCTGTAGTAATGCGTTTTACATTAAATCATTTTCTTTATCTTTACTGACTTTGACAGGATACAAAAAATTCCATACAACCAAGTCAAGTTCAACTCGCTTGATGTCGCGTCGTTTGATTGGCTTATTATCTATTAGGTGAAAGTGTAGTGGGGACGAGCCAGCGACATCGGTTCTCACACTGGCGATCGCTTATCACCCTTCTAACCTCTTTCTGTGTTCTGTGGTTGGTACTACTGGAAAAAATTGATCAAATTCGGTACCACAAAAATTACTACTACTTACGATCCCTCGATCGACATGTAAGGGGGGGGGCATAGTACCGAATATAGGTACCACTGCGAGTGTTCTGAAGAGTTATTCTCTCTTATCCCGCCTTTCCCTTTCCTTCAGAAGACTACATGCGCTGTCGTAGATACTATTCGCAACAGTATTTGTGCTGGCCGGCAAAGTGAGGATGGTTTTCGTGGCAATACGTAACTGCTACACCAGCTTTTTCGCGTCTAGACTTTCTTTACCTTTACTTAATATCAGGCGGGGTAGAGTATTTTGCCTTCCTAAATATAAAAAAACATAAATCAGGGAGCAAACTTTAGTTACTATTAAAGTTCCTTATAATAATTGAATACTTGTCATTAACCACACAGGGCACAAGATATAAAGCACGACTGACGAACAAAAATTAACGGACAAATGGACAAAACAAACCCGCAATACTTTTGTATGACAGAAAAAGAACAAGATCCTCCACCCAGCGTTACCAGATTGGGGGTTCTTTTTGCAATTCTGGGGAAAAATTTTACTCTTGTGGAAAAATTGGAGAAATAGTATCTATGGGGAAACAGTTGGGGAATATAAATAGGTATATAATGGATGAGAATTTTGGGACTAGCAC